ATTCTATGACCCCCGCTATGTCAAAAAATAGAATTACTGCAATTCCAAAAAAACAAATCTAAAATAAAATTCCTTTAAAAGAGTTGTTAGTTTTCTTCTATGACTGTTTTGGTATTACTTAAAAGTAGTCCCAGTAAAAAAAGAATTATGTCTATGGGTCCCATTCTGAAGCGGCAACGGCCCTGTCAAAGGGATCCAGGGAACAAACGTGTGGTGGGGGTGGGTTTTTTGTGCATGTGTGTGTGGTTGTGCGTGTGTGTCCTGTGTACCAGTGCAAATTGACCATGTCCTCGACGCAGCAGAAGCACAGGCCAGAGCATAGCTGCACAAACTACTCGTGTAACCACCACACACACACACAGACACACACAAAGAGTTTGGTTTACATAACGTTTCATGAATGATGGTGGTAAGAGCTGCTTTGTTCAGTCGCTGGCAGGTCGTCTCTCCAGTGATTGAGCAGCAGGAACAGTGCAATATAACAAGCAAAACACTCTGCCTCAAATCTCACAAAAACTCCACCTGATCGGAAGATAATGCCAAATCAAATTATGCGAACATTTAAAGAATTGAGTATATTCTTGTGAGAACTTGATTTTCTAAACAGCATTATTGTTTTATTTGGTGTCAGAATTATCTAAATGACAAACTTAAAATTATCACAATCTACTTTACTCTGTTCAGCAATGAATACTGGACGGAGTAAGCTTGAAATACTAAAGGTCAGAGGTATCTACACTTAAGTTCACCAAATAGTTTCACCAAGATGTCCAGGCCGACATCAGAGCTTTAGAATTGGCTATGACGTGTCTTTTTAATTGGTTTCACATTTTGACATAGTTAAAGGTGGCTGATGAGGTTTTTTCACCCAGATAAATTCGTGCCCAATAAAATCAAATAAGATTTTTGTTGTCATTCAAAACAAAGGCAACCTCTGGTATGGAGCGATTAAGGTTTTTCAAATAATATTTGTGTGTGCTAAAAAGTTTTGTGCGTGCGTAACCAATGGTGGTGCGTAACCAGATTGGTGCGTGCGTAACCAATTTGTGTGTGGTAAAATAAATATTTGGTGCGTGTGTAAATAGATTAGTATGTACGTATCAGATTTGTGGTGCGTAAAAAGATTTGTGTGTGCGTAGAAAGATTTGTGTGTGTGTAAAGAAAAAAACAGTACGTTTTACCACAAGTTTTTTTTTGACACACGAATCTTTTGAACGCAGTCCTGCCTTCGCAGATTCGCAATGTCACTTGGACTGTGTGCGTCTAAACAGATTTGTGTGTGTGAATTTTGACATTTGTATCCGTAGCAGAAACAATCTGTGTGTAAATACCCGCTTGTAACTAAGAGAAGAACGGGAAAAAGCCTAAGTGCTAACGCACAGGCTCTGTTTACACACGAATCTCTTTGTGACACACCTCATCCGCCCAAGCGTGGTGTCAAAAAGATGTGTAAGTGTAATGTGGTTTGTTTTTCTAGCTTGACAACCACAGTAGGTGCGGTTGTAGCTGGTTATTACCAACACGCAAACAGCAAACTCACAAGTGGTAGAATAGAGAAAACCAAGGATTTAAGAAAGAAAAAAGTTACAGATGACAAGGAACACTAAAATTCCCAACAAAATAATTCCGACCTATTATGAAAGCCTGTAGTATCCTGGTCAGCTGGTTTTAGTTTACATTGAGTTCTATGGGGAAAATTTCTCTGTGTAGCCAACGTGAATTTATCTGCAGTACTGAGAATCCTTCAGCTCCAAGCCCTGTTACACCCTATCCAGTTATTATAATAGATCCAGGTACAATACAGTGGGGGAATGACAGGATTTTGAAAATAGGAAAAAAAATATCATAAACATGCTGCGGTGTGGGTTGTTCTATTCAAGACAGTAGGTTTTGGTTTGCTTGCGTGGAGTTAATAACCAGCTATACAGCACCATCTGCTGTGTACTGCTAGAACAACCACATTACACTTACAAATCGTTTTGACACACCTGTGGCGGCAGAGGTGTTCCAAAAAGAGTATTCGTGTTGTAAAACGAGCCTGTGCGTAGCACTTTGGCTTTTTTTTCGTTCTTCTCTTTGTAACAACAGTTATTTATCCCACAGATGTTCTGTCTACAATACAAAGTCGAAATTAACACACACACAAAGCTGTTTTACGCACGCACAACAGTCCAAGTTACACTGCGATTCTGCGAAGGCATGACTGCGTCAAAAGATTCGTGTGTGTAAAAAAAAAACATGTGTGTAAAAACGGAACTTTTTTTTTTTCTTTACACTCACACAAAGCTTTCTACGCACACACAAATCTTTAACGCAACCACAAATCTTTTTACGCACACACAATCGTGAATAGCGTACATTCCAATCAATTTACACATGGCACAAATATTTCTTTTACACCACCCACAAATCTGTTACGCACGCACAAAATCTGGTTACGCACATACACAAATCTGGGTACGCACAACACAATCTGGTTACGCACGCAACAATTCCTTTTTAAGTACGCACACACAATTATTATTGAAACAATAATAGCTCCATACCAAGGTTTGACTTTTTTTTGCACTGACAACAAAATCTTTTTGATTGTATGGCACTAAGGAGCGGGTGAATAAACATCATTCTGCCAACTTAACTCTGTCAAATGTGAACCATAAATAACACGTCAGAGCAAATTCGAAAGCTCTGATGTCGGCCCGGGAACAATCTGGTGAACTATTCTGGGGAACTATCAGTTTAGATACCTCTGGACCTTAGTATTTCAAGATACGCCGGCCCAGTATTCATTGCTGAACAAAGTAGTAGATTGTGATAAGTTTCATGTTTGTCCTTTAGATAATTCTGAAACAAATAAAACAATAATGATGTTAGAAATCAATGTTCAAAGAATAGTAAGTCAATTATTAAATGTAGCATAATTGATTTGCATTTCCTCCGATCGGTGGAGTTTTGTTGAGATATGAGCAGAGTGTTTTGCTTGTATTGTTGCAACCTGTTTCCTGCTGCTATCCAATCACAGGAAGAGAAGCCTGACAGCGACTGAAAGCAAGCACTCTTAAATCCATCATGCATGAAAAGGTTAGGTAACCCAACGCTGTGGTGTGTGGGTGTGTGTGTGTGCGTGTGTTTTCAAGAGTGTGTGTGCGCACTGTGAGTCAGGAGCCCTGTGCTTCCTGCTGCGTCCGAGACATGCCTCAGTCCATGTCTCCTCTTTGCCGCAGGCCCATGCACTGTACACCGACACACACGCACAAACCCACACACATGCACAAAAAAACACACACCACACACACGTGTTTGTTACCTGGTGGGTCCCTTTGACAGGGCCTTCAGATGGGACCCAAACATAATCTTTTTTTAACTGGGGACTATTAGGCTTTAAGTAATACAAAACAGTCATAAAAACAAACAACTCTTTTAAAGGGATTTTTATTTTAGATTTTTTTTTTGAATTGCAGTGATTCTATTTTTGACATAGAATTTAATGCCACTCCATGTCACCGATGTCTAAAGGTCATCTGGTGAGGCATTAAGCAGGCCAGGCAGTGAGACTTCACAACCTTGCCAGTCTGTAGGAAAGGTGGTCATGGTCGCTCCACACCTTCACCTCAGATGCAGAACCATGGCTTTCTTCCACACTTTCTAGTGAGTGAAATTCAAAGATTTTAGCATTATACACTCCCAGGGTTAGGACCAAGCAGCCTGGCTGTAATCCCCCACCTGTACCACGTTACCAGAAGGGCACTGGCCACTCACCATGGGGTGCATCTGGATGAATGTTGAAGGTTCTCACGCTTGAAGTTTCTTTTAGCCCGTCCGTTGTGAGAGGATCTCTACTGCTCTCCCTTCGCACAGAAAATAAAAATACAAGTGCCTTTAGGGAAAAAAAATCAAGAATACCTCAGGCTCAATTGTATCTGGCGAGGCGCTTATTCCTTTGAATTCCGGTCACTCTTCCCTGCTTCCCATGGCCCATCAACACTTTGCTGATTGTGCCAGCTCCCGTGTCCCCGGTCTGGGTAGTCTGTAATATTGTCTGTGGATGCCCGAATGTCATGGCCGAGGAAGTTGGCTAGTAATGTCCCATTTCATTCTCTTTCATATTGAAACTGTAGACATAGTGTCTATGTGCTTCTAAGTTTGGTTGAGGAATAGCAATCTCTGGATGCACCGCACCACATGTCTTTGCTACACATGCCGTAGGGAGTCTGATCCCGACCTGATGTGGGTGTCCTGCGCCCGGGGCGGGGAAGAGTATGGTTAGGTCCAGAGATGGAACAGGCCCTTCGGTTCCTCCACCAGCACCTCCATCCAAGCAATCATTTCAGGAGCAAAAGAACTCGGCACTTTCCGACTTCTTTTCCCTTGAATTTCAATGCGGTTGAAAAAGCTGACACAGCTTTTCTCAAGTGAGACAGTCCCAGAAGCCATGTCAGAATGGGACCCAGTCTTACTTTCGTAAGGTGAACGCTGTCAGTGGCAACTTTGAAACCTCACCTTCCCTTCTTCGATTTGAAAATAAGAACCTCACAAAGAGTCAAAAAAACTGCCCAGTTTAGACCAATATGCTTGGACGTTGGCTCACTTATATAGGGTTTGTCACATATTCAGGTCACAGAACCTCCAATATGTGAATGGCTATGGCTCAACGTCATCATCAAGGGAGCAGGTCCCCGGAGTGTTCCACTTGGCTTTCCCGGAGGGCCTGTAGGGCAGCAAAGAAACACAGACGTCCCCACTCTTCTCAAAAAGCACCGGCTCTTTCGTTAATAAATAGTTCATCAACACAATGCTCCATTTTTTGAGGCACATTCAAGAATATCTGCTACTTACTGAGGGCTATGGCCGAGTTTTGAGGGCCAAGGATGGAGTCTTGTATTGATTTGTTCCCTCATCAGCTCCTTGTAGTTTTAACTTATCTTTTGCAGATTTTATAACAAAAAATGGAGGAACGTTTACGCTATCTTTTTTTTTTTTTGCTCCAGATTTTCATTCATATGCCCTGTGGTGAGTAAAATCAACTATCTATGTATAGCTATCAGAGACGTGAGAAAAGCGCGGTGATCGTCCAAATCATTGAAATTGTTCAATCCTTTGAAGCTAAATGATCAACAAGTGGATACAATCCTCATGAAAATGATCATTGATTATTTTGTCACTCCTTTGTCAGTATTTACAAGAGGGTATCTTATTGAGTAAAATGAAAACTGCCAAAATAATACCTACTTTTAAGGACGAGAAAAGCAAAAGACCCATTAATTTATACTCTGAGTTTTCAAAAATACTGGAAACTCTTTTGTCAAACAACTTGACTGCTTTGTAGGTTAGCATAACCTAATGAGTGAACATCAGTTTGGTTTTTGATCTAATAGGTCCACCTCAATGGCAGTCACAGAACTAGTAGAAAACATATCAACATCTATTGAGAACAGTGAGCATGCTGTTGGAGTCTTTGTAGAACATAGACTTTTGACACAATAGAGTCTATTATTTTTTGTAAATATTGTAAATATTGTGAATGTGGTGTGTGTGTGTGTGTAATCTATCCCCTGCCTTTGTAAATATCTATTAGAGGTGCAACGGTCATTCACTGATCCGTGATCTGTTCAGATCAACGTCTTCGGTTCGGTACAGACGTGATCCGCAGTTTGATTTATGAAAAAAAAGTTGTGCACTCCCACTATGTTGTTTAGTTCACACACAGCGTAATCATGGCGAGCGGAGGAACAGAAAAGCCTGTGTCATTTAAATCCTCGGTATGAGAGCATTTTGGCTTCACTGTAACTATACTGATGATTAAATAGTCGACAAAACAGTCACAGTGTAAATACTGTGGCACAAGACCGACCCTTTACGCACAGTCAGACCGGGCTAAAGTCAACTCTCCCGCGTATCCTCAGTTGCGCTCACAACTGACGCTTGGACGTCCCGCGGAACCTATAATAGATCCATGAGCGGTTGAGATAACCATGAAATGTTACGATAACCGCTCACTTCATCACTGCAGACTGCGAGATGAAAAGTCGGGCGTTGCAGACACGCCCCCTCTACGAAAGTCAAGTGTGTCAGTACAGGCACACAGCGCAGGTACTGACACAGCACAGGTACAGGCACACAGCGCAGGTACTGACACAGCAGCGGAGGAATGGAAGACAAAGGCCCAGTACTAATATCCCAGTTACAACTGATAATGCCAAAAATTAAATAAATGCAGTGAATGAGGCTGGACTGGGCCCAGAATGGACCCCCTCCTTGGGAGAATCAGGAAGGTGGTTTAATATATGAGAGTAAATATTCTCATAAAGTGCCTTCTTATGTTGCACTTTGTTTTTTTCATTAATCCAGACATAATTGGATGGATGGAATATGCCATCCATTTTCTTCCCCTTAATCCATTTCTAGGTCAGGGGGGTGACAGTCAGAGCTGCACCCAGTTCACAGAGCACCAGCCCATCACTGATCCTCCTGCAGGTGCCGAGTCCACAGGAGCCGTGTTTATTCAATAGACAAAACCTTTTTTTTTTTTTTAAATGAACCGAAAAATGAACTGAACCGAGGTACGATCCCAACCGTGATTTTTTTTCAAACCGTTGCACCCCTAATATCTATCTTTTAATTCACATCTGGACCATACCACTGTCTTTGTTGTCTGTGATTTTAAACACCTCTCCCTCTGTGAGCCGAATCCTAGCTTCTGGTCTGAGCCCAAATACAATTAGTTTACTGGACTTACTATTGTTATATGCTACACTAGCTGTTTTTCAGTCTTTGAAATGTTTATAAATTATTTTGAAATACAGATACTGTTATTGTTGAGAATAAAATTCCAAGTATATTGGAAATGTTTATGTATTTTGTGTCATTTTTAACTTTGCGTTTATCGATGGTAATGGCACACTAGATGAGAAGAAAATTTCAAACAGGCACTCCATGTCACAAACGTTGCCGACCCCTGCAATAGACCATTGATTGCTTTTAAAGAAATTAGCAAGGTATGGGGACAGGGGCTTAGCACACGTTTGGCTAAAAAGTTATTTCAGTGATCAAAATCCGTATGTACATATTAATAATATCAACTTAATGAAAGCTAAAATAACCAAGTAACAAATTAAAATCCATCTCATTTGCGGACGATACCAGTCAGGACTGTTCTGGTAAAGATTTTGAGCCGCTTTTGAGTACAGTAGGAACTGAGCTAAAGATTTTATGAAATGGATTGAATCAAACTAAATAATAAACAAACCATATCGAATGAGTATTGGGGAGATAGACATTGAACGGTTGTATGTAACATTTTTGGGAATCACTGTTGATACGTGACATTAGAAAGTGCTTATAAATTAAGACTAAAATGTTTAAACTTACACAAAAAATGAGATATGAATGTGGAATTTGGTTTCAACTTAATAAGAATTAGATAAATAATGTGTGTCCAAACATAATTATTGATTAACATTGATTATTGATCATCTATTTTCTCTTCAGCCGCGGCTATTGCTGTGAGCAGAACAGAGGGACAAAACTGTTCACTGCCACTGTGTGTGACAGAGGGAACAGTTGTTTCTTTCCGGTTAAAGAAGTCAAAAGACTGTGTCCTGATATACAGAAGTGGCAGAATAGAGAAGACAGAACATCACTGTTTCAAAAATCGAGTTCGTCTGGATAAGACAAGAGGATATCTTGATGTGATCCTTGAAGATCTTAGACTGGAGGACACAGGCAGATATGAGTGTTTTGCTTTAGTCACAACAGGAGAAAACAAGAAACAGCACGTCATGTGCTACATTGATCTGAACGTCACAAAGCTGAGTCCAGAAGGTAAAAGTCCTCCTGTCTTGTTCTGAACTCTGTTTTCTTGTCATTTACCCTCTGCTCTTGTTCACAGAGAAACAAACTCAGGACAATGATAAAGGACAAGATCATTCTCAGGGTCTGGATGTGGTGGTGGTGGTGGAGTGGGAGTGGTTTTGGGTGGTTGTGCTGCCGTCTGTGCTGTTGATTTGTGCTTTTTGTAAAAGAAACATCAATCTGTGGCAGCAGATTTCCAAACAGCCAAACACCCCACTTACATCAGAAAATCCGCTCTCATGATATCCCCCTCCGACATCTTCTTGTGAAAGGGGTTCAGGACCTGCAGCTGGGCCAGGTCACTGTTCCAAACTGTTAATGCTGTTTTAAAACTACAGTCGAACCTGGACAAAATCGCACACACAAACAGACATAGATCTGGCATTCTTTAATTACTTGGTTGCTGTCCAAGGAGAAGTGTTTCGACAGAGACAGAGCAGATGAGAGCTCTGCCAGATTCAGAACAGATGAACTCAGACAAGAATGCAACTTCCTTTTGGTCACCAAGTCATATGCATATAAAAGTGGAAGAACCAACAGAGAACAAATGACTTTCCGTATTAACACGTACAAAGCCTGCCTCCGCCTGGTAAAATGGATCAACATACAACCCCCGTCGTCCAGACTGGCTGGAGCCAAATAAAAACAACACAGCTGTTTCAGTGTACAATATATTTTAGCCACATATGACTTATTAAAATAAAAACTTAAACAACATTCCAATGTCACAAACCAAGAGCAGCAGGTTTTAGGAGGGTTTCGCACTGCAGCTTCACAGCAAGAGGAACAAATAAACTGTTGTAAAAGTATGTGCTTTTGAACAAGTAAAAAAGTGAAATAAATCTGTGTTGAATAATTTATAGACAATTTATTTATTTGAGCTGCCTTAACCATGACCTTAAATGTTTAACACTGAAAGAGAATATGACAGTTTTTTTTCAAGTTGTCATCTCCAAAGTATCATATAATTTTAAAATGTCATAAGTACAAAGTAATATACATATTTTAAAAGTAAGGAGTGAAAGATATAAGGAACGAGCCCTCACTGACAGCAAAAGGTTTTACAACTCATCATTCTAGGAAATTAAAAATTCATTTTAAAACAATATAGATGGGTGTGGACTCATCAACTTGGATGTTTGACCTAAAACCTGTAGCTCTTGGCGCCTGCTCCAAATCAGATGTATTATAAATGTGAAACAGTGTATATGTATGCAATATAACTTTTAAAATAATTTTTAACTATTTATTTGTGTAATGTTTTGCATTTGTTCCTTGTACATGTGAAGAAACCGGTTGGACAAGTTTGTGATTACTCCGCACGCAACAAAATACTGACTGTATTATAATCTCAGTGTTTCATAGACTGAAATTAAAACAAGTAATAATAAAAAGGAGCCAAAACTTTTTGTCCAGCCTTTTTTCTGAACCAGACACTGCACAATACAAACATGCATACAACTTGACAAGATCAAAAACACAATGAAAGCAACACACATTTTTACAGTTTACAATACAAGTTATTGGATGGTAGAAAGTTGGTTATTGTTATATTTTGTTGGGATATTGTTAAAATTAGCTGGTTCAGAAAACTTTAGAAACAATGAATAGCCTTGGCACTTTTTAAATATTTGTGTTGCTTGTATGTTGCTTTTTCATAACAACATACATTGGCTTGCTATTTTCTTTTCAATATATATAAAATAATGTCATCTTGTCTTTGCCACATCCATGCTCACGATATTTTATTTAGTGAGTAGTAAATGAAGATGACACAACAAATAATAAAACTTAAATCTTTGCAAGAAGCATCTTGAAATAATGATATGACATGATCTTAGCCAAATCAGAATGTTTTGAGTGTGATGAAAAATGCCAAACGATCTCATGAGTTAAATATAAAGCTATAATAAAGATTCAATCACTCAAATTTAAGATAAGATAATATAAACATTATTGATCTCACATTTGGCATAGATAGAATCACTCGGATGTTTTGCATATTGGGGTTTGTAGATTTGCATCTGTTCCTTGCTATATATTTTAGTACATTTGAAACAACCTGTTGGACGACTTTGTGAATACTTTGCTCTCAACATAGTATCGACTTTTTCTAAACATAATCTCTTTGATCTACACTGAAATGAACATGCAGTGACAAGTCAAACAAAAAAAACACATACACACACAAAAACACAAAATAAGGAGCCACATTTTTTGTCTAGATTTATTTCCTGAACGAGATGCTGCACAACAAACATGCATGCAACCTAACAAGATCAAAAACACAATGAAAGCAACAAAGAATAAAATAAATTTATTACAATACCAGTTATTGTTTTATATTGTTGGGATGTTAATGCACTTTTCATGTAATGAGACAGAAAGTTGGACTCATTGATGTGTCATGTGTCTCCAAGTCTATAAAGATAATATAAAATGGTGAACTCTGGTCTCATCTGTATAGAATCCACTTCCTCTTTATCAAACATTTGCTCTCCCAGAAACAAAACCCTGCTGCTGCTGCTGCTGCTGCTGCTGCGTGGTTGGCTGAACACAGTCACATGTTTTACTGGAAGAGCTGCAGCAAAGATCCAGTTAGATCCACTTTATACACATTATAATCTCTATTCGTCCCACAGCGGGGGACATGTTGGTGTTGTATTGTACAGCACAATAGTAATAAAAAGAGCACACAGATCAACTAATTGCTGTGCCTGTTACCACACCAACATTTGAAGTACTGTACCATGTGTGCATGTGTGAATCATCAAATGCATGGGTGTAATTGCTTTTATTTCACTCCTAAAGCATTGGAATTGAACACGTCCACATCAGATTGTGTGTGTTTGTGTGTGTGTGGGGGGGTTTAACCAGTTAAACGTTTATTTTACCACAATTGTTCAGATTTGTTTTTCTTTTTTTTCAGCTACAATATCACAGGTTTCAATTTATTATTATACTTAACTATACCACTTATAACAAACCTTGGAAACCCGGAATGGATACAGAATTGACCGCATGAAACAAAAAAATTATCTCTCAAATTCAAGCAAAAGCACTTGAATGACATTTGTTCTATTTGCACCTGTATACAGCCAACGGAATTCAAACCTGCAGATCCTGAGACCTGCTACTGCTGTAGACAGGGGTTTTTCCTATTTACAAACTGTTGTTCCTAGTTGCTAGAGGATTTTGTTATATCATCAATCTCCTGAGTGGACACTCAGAGCTCAAAGCTTTGCTGTACTCTATCCCAGCTTTAGAAAGATGAATGCTGTGGTCATGAGACCTGTTCTGGAACTCCTTTAAGTAGCAATATGTAAGATTTTCATGTCAAGTCAGCATCAAATGGCCCTATTATGTCAAAAGGCATTAATAACACGTGCTCTTTTCGAATACTTACAGTTGTTATTTTCATTTTGATGTCCCGCCCTCCACCTTTTTACCAATCAGAAAGTCTGTGATCGCAAATCATTAATGACAAAACAAGGAATAAAATGAGAATTTCTATCTTTGTGAAAAAGATGTTGATTATATTATGTTGTTGACAAAACTCGTGTCCATTCAGATATTATGTTCCCAGCTTTCATCTGCATATATAGCAACCAGGGAGAGTGGGAGAGGTTGCAGTACCACTTTTGGCCAGATTTTTACATACTGCTCCTTTAAATCAGCTGATTAATCGGTCAATATAAAAAAAAAAAACCTGTAACTGTAAACACAAACAAAAAAACATATTGGTCAATCCCTAGTCCCATTATCATCTGGTCTTAAGGGTTCAAACCAAAAGAACCCGGCTCCTTAGCCCTATCTGCCCTCTTATTTCCTGAAGTCAAAAGACTACTAAACCAGGCTTAACTCTGTCTCTGTGCTATTGTGTGTTCTGAATACTGTACTGAACATCTGCTGGAGGAACATACGAAATTCACTGCATGTAAGAGACCACAATAATAAACTAAATGAAAAAAAACCATGCATAAAAACTTGCACAATAGGTATGAATGTAAATCAGGGAGTGAATGGATGGTGTTGATTGAGCCTTTGATGCACCAGTGTGTTCGGCGACTCGCTTCTGTCATCAGTGTGTGTGGAATGATTAACACAATATCTGAACATTGTGAAGCGCATTGGCTGACCTTGGTCTGTAAAATGCGCTATAATACATTTAATAATAATAATACATTTTATTTATAATGCACTTTACATTTGACACCAAATCTCAAAGTGCTACAAACAGCAGCAAAAATAAAAGCAAACACATAAAATCAGATAAAACTATTAAAAAAAATTGCAGTACGCTTTAGTAAAAAGATGGGTTTTGAGTCTCTTTTTAAAAGCTTCCACCGTCTGTGGGGCCCTGAGGTGGTCCGGGAGGGCGTTCCACAGACGGGGAGCAGCGGCCTCGACGGACCGGTCCCCCATTTTCTTGAGCCGTGTCCTGGGCGGGAGCAGACGGTGCTGTTGGCCTGACCGGGTTCTGCCTGAGGAGTGTGGAGTGAGGAGGTCAGTGAGGTAGGTGGGGGCATCACCGTGGAGACAGTGGTGGGTGTGCAGGAGGATCTTATATTGTATACGGAGGTGAACGGGGAGCCAGTGGAGGGTGTGAAGGATGGGGGTGATGTGCTCATGCTTCCGCACCCTCATCAAGACCCTGGCCGCGCTGTTTTGTACGTACTGGAGCTTTTGAATGCTCCTGCCAGGGATCCCGATGAGGAGTGCGTTGCAGTAATCCAACCTGGAGGAGACAAAGGCATGGACGAGCTTCTCTGCAGCCGGGAGAGAGAGAGAAGAGCGGAGTTTTTAAATATTACAGAGGTGGAAGAAGGAAGTTTTGCAGATGTGATGTATGTGATTTCCGAAGGAAAGGTGGGGGTCAAACTTGACCCCGAGGTTGGTTACAGAGGGAGAGAGGGGAATGCTGTGGCCAAAGAGAGAGATTGAGGTGATGGGGGAAGAGTGAAGTTGATGGGGAGTACCAGTTTGAATGGCTTCTGTTTTTGAGCCATTCAGCTGCAGGAAGTTTTGCCTCATCCATGCCCCTATCTCCTCCAGGCAGGAGGTAAGACAGGAGAGAGAAGCAGAGGGAGGGGCGGATGGAGTGACTTTGAGATAAAGTTGTGTGTCGTCAGCATAGCAATGGAAGTGAATTCCATGCCTGCTGACGACACACCCGAGGGGAAGCATGTACATGGTGAAGAGGGTGGGACCGAGCACGGAGCCCTGGGGGACCCCACAGGTGA